TTATGCTTTCGCAATGTTTTTAATACAACTTCCTCTGGCTTAAAGAAGACCAATATGTTATTAAGATTTTGTGAAAGTTTCATCAAATTTCATTCAGTGGTATGAGAGCAGTTGCGGATAAGAGATAGGTACCCCAAAGTGTAACGGGCGGTCAGACGGACATACAGCTCGACTGACGGACGGACATACCGTTAATTTATATACAATTTAAAAGCATTAGCATACACATGCAAAAAATAAGCAGTCATTTTTTTATATCCATACTGACATTTTTTTACTTACTACAGTAAATAGTACCGTGGTATTCAATTTGTCGGCACGGCCAGGTGTGTAATAGGACCGAAGACTTCCCAAAATACGAATTAAATTCATATAATTATTTATATTTTTTAGCTTATATTTACATTCTTTAAATTTTTCCTTTTCATAATTGTTTATTTCGGTAATCTTTGATGTAAGGTTTAGCGCCCTTTAAAACTGGTGTGCTTTATAGACGTAAAAGCCGTTTGTGACGTCGTAGAGTTGAATAACGTAAACTAACATTGCGAGGGGGAAAAGTGACAAATTAATTTTTAGGCACATTTGATGTATTTTTTACGTTAATTCAACAGGGTTTATTTTAAAAATAAATTGTGTTAAACAATGTACATTGTGGTGTTCATAAAGTATTAAAAATACATATATATTTTCTACTGTCTAACGCACGATGACAATGTTTCGCGAGTGCAAGAGATTTGAACGTCATGGATTTCATAGAATGTAAATGTAATTTAATAATTTAATTTTACTTGTACGACACAGGTCATTTGATTGGATAAAAGATTTTATCCATTTTGTATAACATAACTTTCCTACGTCACAATTAAATACGTAAAAAAAAACGCATTACTCCGCTTGACGTTACTTTTAATATCAAATCAAGAATTTTGAAAACTACTTTTTAACTTCTTACATGGAACAGTTTCTGTCTGATCTTGAGAAATATAAACTTAATATACAGATATATAGAGGAGTAAATTAATTTGATATCACTATTTTCATGCCTTTCCAATCAAATGTCTAAGATTGCCCTGCAGCATAAATATTTCTGTTTTTGCAATAAATCCTTTTTCAGACTGTTGACATTTTGAGGGGGTAATCAATGAATTATTGTCTCATATGTTTTATCTTGCCAATATACTGTATGCATCATCTCTTTAAATTCTTTGAAGATCGCATTTAACCCACTCACATTGAGTTGACAGACTATCTGTAAATACTTTGAAATATACATGTAATAAGTAAAATGGCACTTCCTCAATAAATCTAAAAAAAAATCATTAGAAACACAAGAAAGAAGAATTTGTTATCAAAATTCAAAAATGTCCTAAACGTCAACCTACTTTTAATATAGAATACCAACTGATCTTAAGATAAGACGATGAGTCATGCATGTGCATAAAAAATCATACCGAAAATCTGGAAATTTTGGCTGTAGATAAATTTTTAGCAAATTTGCGAGTTCATTGCATTCGCAAAAAATATTTTTCTTTAGAATAAATTACCAATAAGACAATGTAAACAAAGGAGTGGCCATTCGCAAAATTTTGAAACATAAAAATTAATCAACAGCATTTTGACCCGAATTCGCAAAATAAAATCGACGTAAAAATTTCCAGATTTACGGTAGTTACCCCCAATGTGCCCCCATTCTGAAAAAGAATTATTGAATATATACAGAAAAAATATGTCTGTTCCTAGGCAGTAAATCAGCTATTCTGGGCTGAAAATGAGAAATAAGTTGTTCTTTGATATATTAAAGTAGATCACATTCCTTAAGTACTGTAGACACCTTAGTTATTCTTACATGTACGAAGCTGAAATAGAACTATTGTTAGTTTCTTTGGATTCTAATTTCCCTGCATTGTCGCTACTGAATGTTGTATAGCATAAGTCCGTTTACACCACTGACGATTGATTATACTGAATAGTGACTAAGTGACTAAGTCATCCGCTTTATATAGGGTGTTCAGACATAGTGAAGTTCGATCTTGTTCGAAAGTCCTTGTACGAATGATGTTCAGCTTTTTAAGATTTAACTTTTACGCATGCATAGTTTTTAACAAAATGTTGCAGTGCGGATAAATAAGACATAACAAAGTAAATGTTCATATTTTTCGATATATATTATAACTCTGTGATTCCTACTATTGATAAAGTACAGAAGGAAACAAAAACTAAATTTCTTTGTCCTAATTTGATAAACAATGCCAATTAGTCAACTAAGCAGAACGAGACCTTGCCTGAGGAACACAAAAGGAAGTTGAGCGGTTCAAATAACCAAATTGCGCTATTGTTTTCTTTCAGTTTTCGGGTGAATGTGAAGATTATGATAGTCTACCGTATTAAAAGCGGTTTGTGTGTAGTGAAGTGGCAATTAAACATTAACAGGTGGTAGGACGAATAAACCGTTCGTAAAGAGACTCTTTTTTGCGTTAAAGTCATCGTCACGGTTGGTTGGAAACCATTCTTGGTCCTCTCTGACAACGGGTAATTTATATTAGACGTACTATGGGGGGAAATTACAACAAACTGCCCAGTAACGTGTTGTTGACCTTTTCCTTATTTAGTACGTAGTTCGAAAACCCGATCCCATTGAACTTCGGTAAAATTTATCAGGATTGCAATAAATTCGTATCGTCTATTAATACCGAAAAAACAATTTGTATACCTCTGGTGCATCAAATGTAGCCTGGTCCCCCGTCTCATCTTTGCCAAGGCAGTGAAGCGGAGTATATGAAGCAAAACAGGGACAGGGAACCAGGCTACATCAAATGGTACAACAAGATTTGTTGGCAAACTTGTCTTCATCAGTTTGCACGTATTTTGGGCTCTTTGATGTATTCCGTAATGTTTGAGACAAGGTCTTTCTTTAGAACCCAACAACCTTGACCCTTTGACATTGAGTTTGTTAAACTGTTTACCTTGATCATAAACCTAAAAGAGGTGTAGCTAGCGTTTTATATTTAGCATTTCTTGTGAAAAGACCTTACTTTGGTACCAACATATTTGATCTGCATTTGATAAAACTTAATCTTCGCTATGTTGCCATATGGGGGCATCAGTGTTTCACAAACACAACTTGTTTCGCTTGAATTTGTTATAATATATTCACAAATACTTTTCTATGGGCCCCAAAACTTGGTTATATGACTATTGATTAGCCCATTTAGGACCTATCAAAAAATATTTTTGAATTCTATATAACAAATTGTTGAATTGTTATAACAAATTGAATTCATAATTACAATTACTTTGAATTTTTTAAATTAATTTTATTTGATTTAAGAAATTTGTTATACACGTTTTGAATAATTCAAGAATTTGTTATAACGTATTAAATTTCCGATATATTCTACAATTTGTTATAAAGAATTAAATATGTTAAAACTAATTCAACATTTTGTTATATAGAGTTAATTTATTAAACTACGAATTAAATTCGATATAATATGTTATCACAATTTAAAAAAAAAATAATTTAATATAATTTGATATTACAAATTCAAGAATTACTTTAAAAGAATTTAAATTATTTTTAGTTTTTTGAATTCGTTATAACAAATTAAACCAATTCGTTTTATAACAGATTAAATTCGTCATAACAAATTCAAAGTAATCGTTAAACTGAGTTCAATTCGTTACAACATATTCGACAGTAAGTTATATCAAATACAAAAATAATAATGTTTGATAGGTCCTTAAAATAGGCTTCTTTATCATGATGCTTTCATTCAAGTTTAATTTTTTTTGTTTCAGCAGATCTCGTGAGTAATAATCTTAACAGTTGTAGTTACATTTTCACTCTTTCTTAATTGTTTCCACTTGAACAAGAATCTCATCCTTCAGTGTAAGAAATTCCCTTTACAATAAATATTCAAGGAATCTTTGATGCAAAATAAGTTTGGTTGAAATTGGTCTTCAAAATAATTTGAAAATGTCAAATGTTTACTGGAATCACGCACCAGATGGACGCTAGACAGCCTCACTTCAAACTTTTGCTCAGGTGTCGAGATAAAACAAGACGCCCATGGGTCTTATAGATCATCTGAGCATCATGCAACAACTTTCCAGTGATTGAATTTGATTTATTTTTAAAGCCAGATGTTATGGCATTTACAATTTTGAAAGAGGCAACACTGATCATCATAACTGTACACTTAGCAATTGCTTGGTTTGGTTACTTAATACCCATAGGCAGGGTAAGAGAACAAAAAACGCATTTAAACTAATCAGGAATATTCAGTAATAATCAGCCCCCCCCCCCTCTATGGTATCTCTGACCCTGTGGCCTTAAAATTCACAATATTGGAAGATTAGGGCCCTTGCTCATCATAACTATGTAGGTAGTTCATCTGCTTAATACCCAGGAGCAGAGAAGATTTTCAAAGATTTCATGTTTTTAACTATATAATCAATAGAGCCAGCCCTTACACCAAAACCCCGACCTTAGGGCCATAAAATTCACAATTTTGGTAGAGGCACTCTTGCTCATCATAACTCTGTATTTAGTTTATTTAATACCCAGGAGCAGAGAATGAGATTTTCAAAGAAATAATGCATTTTCAATATATAACCAATAGAGACACACCATAGCACCTCAGAACCCATTACCCCAGGGCCACAAATTTCACAATGTGGTAGAGGACTCAATGCAAACCCCATACAGTGTCAATTCTCCAGGATTACTTTCGAGCCCTATGGAGTTGTAGAATAACGTAATACTGAACGTCATAATGGAGTTTATCAAATATGGATAAACCTGGTTATTTCGCGCAGCTTAGTTTTTTACATATGCTAAGATCGATAACTCCTAATCATTACGTTCATAATTCATCGGGTTCGGTGCTCAAAAATATTTGTTGAATGCGCATGTCTTCTAGAATATTCCTTTCTATTCCATAATTTGAGTGAAGCAGACGCTCAAAATTTTTAGACGATTTAATCGATCATCATCTGCAGTTTCATCTTTGAGTTGTCATAAGTATGTTACGGGCATCGAGAGTTTCGAAGTCTAGAAGTCCCTATTCACGGACAACAACGACAAATTCTGCAGCTAGGGCCAAAAAACGAAGTGTACCTGAAGCAACGCTCCCTCGACCGCATGATGTCGCCATTGTTGACCAGGCACCGATCGTGACTGACCAGGCACCTATCGTGACTCAAAGTCAGACTGTGTCCACTGTCGCCTCCTTAGTTCCCCTGCAGCCCGCTAGTTCAGCTGAAGTTAATCAAGGTACAATTCAATTTGACCCTTTAGATAATTTGCCAAATCCATTTATTAGCACCGCATCACCCCTAGCAGCGCATTTGCCTCAGAAAGTGAAAGAAAAAATTTTCAATAATCAATTCATAAATTTTGGTACACTTCTCTTTCATGATCCGACCTCGACACAACAAAATCAGCTTGTGTTTGAAGATGGTGTATTTCAGGTAAAGCCTAAGCATAAGGAACAAAAAATTTCAAACCTATCACAATGGCTAGATGCTTTTGCAATTTTTGCATCAGTTTATTTAGTCAAACAGCCATCTGAAGCAATCTCATTGTTTAAGTATATGTCATTGATAAAGAGGGGGGCTGAAAAAATCAAGGGAAATTGGTTAGAATATGATATTCAGTTTAGGCTGAAAAAATCTTACAACACCGCTGTAAGTTGGGCTTCTGTTGATGCAGAGCTGTGGATGATCTATATGCATTCGTCCACTGCTCCTACTAACCCTTTATCACGCCAGCAGTCATTGCAGCCCCGCAACAAATGCTACAGTTATAATTATCAGGGCATTTGCAACAAGTCAAATTGCAATTATGTGCATAGTTGTCTAAAATGTAATGCTTTTCATCCTTTGGTGAAATGTTTCAGGGTTAATTCAACTGCTGCATCAGAACAATCTTCATCACAGACCAATTTCAATAATCGTGCACATTTCCATTCCAGGAACCAGCGGTTCCAGTATTCAAAGGGCCAGTCGCAGTCCAATTCTGCCACATAATTGTCAGAATTTATGGGAACTTGGTCACTCACCTATTAATTGTGAAAATTTGAATCAAATATTATCTACTTACCCAAATGTTCAAGATGCTCATTGTTTGTCCTTGGGTTTCAAATTTGGGTTTTCCTTAAATTTTGATGGTCCTAGGAGGAGGGTGGAGTTTAAAAACATGAAATCTGCAATGCAGTACAGCTTTCAAATACAGGAGAAAATTGATAAGGAAGTTAAGTTAGGAAGAATAATGGGTCCATTTTTATACCCCCCAATATCTAATTTGCGATGTAATCCAATAGGTTTAGTTCCCAAAAAACAAGGTGGTTGGCGAATGATCACAAATTTGTCATATCCAACAGGTGACAGTGTTAATGACTACATAGACCCCAATTTATGTTCTGTCAGTTATTCCACTTTTGATGATGCTGTTTCTTTAATTGCGAGTAAGGGTGAGGGTGCCTTATTAGCAAAAATGGACATTTCCTGTGCATTTCGTCTGTTACCAGTTTGTCCACAGGATTTTTGTTTATTAGGCTTTCAACACTCTGGTGCATATTACATTGACAAGTGCTTACCTATGGGTTGTTCATTGTCGTGCTCTTTATTTGAGAAGTTTTCTACATTCCTTCACTGGGAATTAGCTCAGAGGTCTAAATTGAAAAGCATTATTCACTATTTAGATGATTTTTTGTTTGTAGGAAGGGCCAATTCATCTCAGTGTTTGGATTTAATGAGACAGTTTGAAGAGTTATGTTTAGACTTAGGCATTCCTTTAGCTTTTGAGAAAACAGAGGGACCTTCTACTCGTTTGAGTTTTCTAGGTTTAGGCATAGATACTATTTCCGGAACTATATTTGTTCCAGATGATAAAGTTAGGGAGTTATTGGCAAAGATAAATGGAATACTTAATTCAAAAAAGGTTACTTTGAAAGAAATGCAGTCATTGGCCGGGGCGCTTGCATTTGTGGTTAAGGCATTGCCAGCTGGAAGGGCTTTTTGTTCAAGACTTTATGGTTCAATGGCAGGAGTCAAAAAATCTTTCCATTTTATAAGAATTACAGCAGAAATTAAGTTAGACTTGTTAATGTGGGTTCAATTTCTTACTGATTTTAATGGTAGGACACAATTTCCTAGTCTTGTATGGCAGGAAGATGATTCACTCCATTTTTATTCAGATAGTTCAAGTTCTCATGGTTGCGGTGTTGTGTTCGGTAAACATTGGTGTAGTCTGCATTGGCCTCATGGCTGGCCTGAGGAATGCTACAGGGATATCACTTTCCTAGAACTTGTACCTATTGTATTAGGGGTTATGATTTGGGCTGAAAGCTTAAGGAACAAAAAACTCCTACTTCATATTGACAATTTATCTTTGGTGTACATCATTAATAACAAATCATCAAAAAACAAAAGAATTATGATATTAGTCCGGATGTTAGTTCTGCAGACCCTCAAGTTTAATGTACAAATAAAAGCTCAACATATACCAGGTGTTAAAAATGAAATTGCAGATGCTATTTCTCGGTTTCAGTGGACCAGGTTTCGTCAATTGGCTCCTTGGGCAGACCCCTTTCCCTCCATGGTACCTATTCAGTTTTGGAGAGCTATTCAGGAACTGTAGCCAGTCTTCTGCAGGCCAGTGTATCTCAAAATACAGCGAATGTATACCGTCAGGGATTGCAAAGTTTTTTCAATTTTAGACAACAGTTGTCATTCCAGCAGATATGGCCCCCACCCGTTGATCACATGATTAATTTTATAGCATATCTGTCAGAGAGTAATATGGCTTTTTCTACTGTCAAATGCTATTTATCAGGAATCAGTTTCGTCATTAACTTGCATGGTTGGCAGAATCCAGTGGATTCATTTATTATTAAGAAGTTGTTAGCTGGTTACAAGAGATGTAATCCGTCTCAGGATATAAGAAAACCAATTACATTACCTTTGTTGAATAGCATTGTCAGTGTTTTGCCACATTTGTGTTTTTCTGATTTTGAAGCAGCTTTATTTCAGTCTGCTTTTGCATTGGCTTTCTTTGCATTACTAAGGGTGAGTGAAGTGGTGGCTTTGGGTGTCCAGCATATAACTGTATCTAGTGATACCATTGAAATCTTTATCAAAACATCTAAGACTGATCAAATTGGTGCGGGGGCATTTGTGCATGTGAAAAAATCAAATGATACAAATTTATTGTTTCAATCTTTGCAGAAGTTTGCTGCATTAAGTACCAATGTAAAAAGGGTGTCCTACTTTTCTCATTTAAATTCCAAACCCTTAACCGAATACCAGTTTTCGTCCATGTTAAACAAAGCTTTGCAGTTTCTGAATATACAGTCAACTCAATTTAAGACGCACTCATTTCGCATTGGGGGTGCAACCCACTTGTATACAAAAGGGTTTTCAGAGGATCATATTAAGCAGATGGGAAGGTGGCAGTCAGCAGCTTACAAATCGTACATAAGACCATGTTCGTTGTAAATTTACATTGAGTTACACTGTATATGTATTGTCATATGACACAAAGTTACAATTCAAAAAAAAAAAAAAAAAAAATAATAATAATAAGCGTTTAATTTGCTCATCAATTTTAAATTTTATATTTAGATTCGATTTGGATCATAGGCTCGTCAATTATTCATTGGGCTCACATATATGCGAAGAATTCAAATCAAGAGAATCTTGGGCAGGAGTCTTCCAACATCTTGTGGCATGGAATTCGGGGTATGGTCTGGGAGCAATTATATCCCACAATTGAATTTTTGTTAGCTCGTAACAAGAAGCCAAAGATTATTATTATACATTGTGGGGGCAATAATATTGGTCAGGCTCACAATACATTAAGGGGTCTTCAAAAATATTACAAGTCAACTTTGGCAAATATTGCTAATTTACTTCCACAAACTTTTATAATTTGGTCACATATTTTGCCTCGAAATAATTGGATTAATTGTCTTGCAAATACAGAAGGACAAAACTGTAGACGTAGAATTAATAGTGCCTGTGCTACATTTGTGCTAAATAAGTTTCAGGGTCGGGGTGCATCAGTCAGTTATCCAGATATTAGAGCTCAATGCAAGGAATTATTTAGAAAAGATGGAGTTCATTTGTCAGATTTGGGAAACAGTATTTTTATCAATACTTTGAGGAATGCTTTGGATCATTTCATTGGTTGTAATTTTGTTTCGTCAACATTTCCTTGATGCTTGTCATGAGCCAATTGTATTTTGGTGCAATTTGTACCTTATTTTGTGTGCACAATTTGTGCTTTAAATGACTTGAGCCGATTTGGCATAATTTTGGTGCAATTTGTACCTTATTTTTTGTGCACAATTTGTGCCTTATGTGACTTAGCCGATTTGGCATAATTTCGGTGCAATTGGTACCTAATTTTGTGTGCACAATTTGTGCTTTTATTGTTACTTTGGGCTGCAAAATTGCCGCCCCAATGTTAGTTTGTGGCGGATGGGTCATGTGACTTGGTCCCTTGACCCATTTGGCATAATTTTGCAAAGAATGCTGTCTCCGGGGGGTACTGTTTTTTCCAGGCTCCTTGGATCAAGATGGTATTTCTCTTGCTTATGATTATCCATATTCATTTACCTATGCTGCCATATAATCATCATCGGCGCATACATTGTATTATATCTAATATTTTATTAAATGGCCATGACAAGCACGCCAAAACAATTATTGACTTGTTTTATTGACTATTTTTAGACATCCTTAACCTTTTACAGGGTTTATCTGATCATGTTTGTTTCTGTTGTCGTCCAAGTCCAATGTCGCGAAATAATGGAGTTTATCAAATATGGATAAACCTGGTTATTTCGCGCAGCTTAGTTTTTTACATATGCTAAGATCGATAACTCCTAATCATTACGTTCATAATTCATCGGGTTCGGTGCTCAAAAATATTTGTTGAATGCGCATGTCTTCTAGAATATTCCTTTCTATTCCATAATTTGAGTGAAGCAGACACTCAAAATTTTTAAACCCACCCTCCCTCCCCCTAAGTCGATTTTATATTCCCCTTAAGCATATATGTCATGTTTTATTGCAATGTAAATTTTCTTTTGGTGTTTTTCTCGTTTTCGTTTAATTTCTCGTTTCAGCGTCATGGCATGGATCAAATGCTGAATAGGATCCACCTTATTGATGTGCTTGGCAGACCTTTCAAAGTTCCAGTTGTTTGTGGTGTTTTTAACTTTGTTAAGCATAATTTTGCAAAGAATGCTGTCTCCGGGGGGTACTGTTTTTTCCAGGCTCCTTGGATCAAGATGGTATTTCTCTTGCTTATGATTATCCATATTCATTTACCTATGCTGCCATATAATCATCATCGGCGCATACATTGTATTATATCTAATATTTTATTAAATGGCCATGACAAGCACGCCAAAACAATTATTGACTTGTTTTATTGACTATTTTTAGACATCCTTAACCTTTTACAGGGTTTATCTGATCATGTTTGTTTCTGTTGTCGTCCAAGTCCAATGTCGCGAAATAACTATATAGGTAGTTCATCTGCTTAATACCCTGGAGCAAAGCAGAAAATTTTCAAAGATTTAATGTATTTTCACTATATAATCAATAGAGCCCCGCCCTAAATCAAGAAGCCCTGACCCTGGGGTTATAAAATTCACAATTCTGAAAGAGGCATTCTTGTTTATCATAACTACATGTATGTACTTAGTTTATTTAATTTCTGGATTTTCAAAGAATTCATGTATTTTCAGTATACAATTAATAGCCCCGCCCTAGCACTAGAACCCCTGACCCTGGGGCCAAAAAATTCACAATTTTTCTTGCACTCTTGCTCATCATAACTATATACTTAGTTGGTTTATTTAATACCCAGGAGTAGAGAAGAAGATTTTCAGAGAAATAATGCATTTTCACTACCTACTTATTTAGCCCCCCCTTGCACTAGTACCCCTTACCCCAGGGCCATGAATTTCACAATTTTAGTAGAAGACTTATTACTAATTACAATAATGCAAACAGTTTGACTGCTTGATGTCCAGGAATAAAGAAGAAGATTTTTAAAGAATGCATTAATTTTAGTGGTTTTGACCCCACCCCTCAGGCCCAAAGGGGGCAAGGATCATGAAATTCATAATTTTTGTTCCCTTTTACCCATAAATGCTTTGTGCCAAATTTGGTTGAAATTGGTTGAGTAGTTGCACAGAAGAAGCTGAAAATGTTCAAATGCTAACGCACGACGCATGACGACGGACGAAAACATGAGTTTACTCAGGTGACCTAAAAATCAATCTGATTTTCAAATATCTTCATCTTAAGTTAATCAAATGAAAGAAATTGTTTTGAACTGAAGAAGGTAAGCATTTAATGTGAAACATTTTAATCATATATAAATCCAGTACACTAAACCGCACTATACTCTAACAGCACTATACTCTACAAGTGTCTCTTAAATGTATAGTTTATCACCATGTGAAACTTAGCTCTCAGTCACTCATAGAATCTTTCCTATTTTTTGCTAGCTTGCAGAGTTATTCTTCTCTACATAAGGAAACAAAATAATGCTAAGAACCCTAGATGAGCAATGAGGTGTCAAATTTAAAATTTTGAAACATCATGTCAAACCTATAAGTCAAACAGTTAGTTTTCTGTGTTTTGTTTTCAGTATTCTGTATATGCCTGTACCTCATGACTTGTTGTAGGATGTGCTCCCTCTGTAGACATCTGATACCTACCTCCTGAACTGTTGTAGGACATGCTCCCTTTGTAGACATCTGATACCTACCTCCTGACTTTTTGTAGGACATGCTCCCTCTGTAGACATCTGATACCTACCTCCTGACTTTTTGTAGGACATGCTCCCTCTGTACACATCTGATACTTACCTCCTGACTTAATTGTAGTGCATGTTCCCTCTGTGGACATCTGATGTTGTCTGATACCTACCCCCTGACTTGTTGTAGGACGTGCTCCCTCTGTAGATATCTGATGTTGTCTGATACCTACCTCCTGACTTTTTGTAGGATGTGCTCCCTCTGTAGACATCTGATGTTGTCTGATACCTACCTCCTGACTTGTTGTAGGACATGCTCCCTCTGTAGACATCTGATACCTACCTCCTGACTTGTTGTAGGACGTGCTCCCTCTATAGACATCTGATACCTACCTCCTGACTTGTTGTAGGACATGCTCTCCTTGTAGACATCCGATACCTACCTCCTGACTTGTTGTAGGACATGCTCCCTCTGTAGACATCTGATACCTACCTCCTGACTTGTTGTAGGACGTGCTCCCTCTATAGACATCTGATACCTACCTCCTGACTTGTTGTAGGACATGCTCTCCTTGTAGACATCCGATACCTACCTCCTGACTTGTTGTAGGATGTGCTCCCTATGTAGACATCTGATACCTACCTCCTGACTTGTTGTAGGACGTGCTCCCTCTATAGACATCTGATACCTACCTCCTGACTTGTTGTAGGACATGCTCTCCTTGTAGACATCCGATACCTACCTCCTGACTTGTTGTAGGACGTGCTCCCTATGTAGACATCTGATACCTACCTCCTGACTTGTTGTAGGACATGCTCCCTCTGTAGACATCTGATACCTTCCTCCTGACTTGTTGTAGGACATGCTCTCCTTGTAGACATCCGATACCTACCTCCTGACTTGTTGTAGGACGTGCTCCCTATGTAGACATCTGATACCTACCTCCTGACTTGTTGTAGGACATGCTCCCTCTGTAGACATCTGATACCTACCTCCTGACTTGTTGTAGGACATGCTCTCTCCGTAGACATCTGATGTTGTCTGATACCTACCTCCTGACTTGTTGTAGGACATGCTCCCTCTGTAGACATCTGATGTCTGATACCTACCTCCTGACTTGTTGTAGGACGTGCTCCCTCTGAAGACTTCTGATACCTACCTCCTAACTTGTTGTAGGAAGTGCTCTCTCTGTAGACATCTGATACCTACCTCCTGACTTGTTGTAGGACGTGCTCCCTCTGTAGACATCTGATACTTACTTCCTGACTTGTTGTAGGACATGCTCCCTCTGTAGACATCTGATGTCTGATACCTACCTCCTGACTTGTTGTAGGACGTGCTCCCTCTGTAGACTTATGATACCTACCTTCTGACTTGTTGTAGGAAGTGCTCTCTCTGTAGACATCTGATACCTACCTCCTGACTTGTTGTAGGAAGTGCTCTCTCTGTAGACAACTGATACCTACCTCCTGACTTGTTGTAGGACGTGCCCCCTCCGTCGACATCTGATACCTTCCTCCTGACTTGTTGTAGGACATGCTCCCTCTGTAGACATTTGATACCTATCTCCTGACTTGTTGTAGGACGTGCTCCCTCTGTAGATATCTGATACCTACCTCCTGACTTGTTGTAGGACATGCTCCCTCTGTAGACATCTGATGTTGTCTGATACCTACCTCCTGACTTGTTGTAGGACGTGCTCCCTCCGTCGACATCTGATACCTTCCTCCTGACTTGTTGTAGGATGTGCTCCCTCTGTAGACATCTGATACCTACCTACTGACTTGTTGTAGGACGTGCTCTCTCTGTAGACATCTGATACCTACCTCCTGACTTGTAGGACATGCTCCCTCTGTAGACATCTGATGTTGTCTGATACCTACCTTCTGACTTGTTGTAGGACGTGCTCTCTCTGTAGTCATCTGATGTTGTCTGATACCTACCTTCTGACTTGTTGTAGGACGTGCTCCCTCTGTAGACATCTGATACCTACCTCCTGACTTGTTGTAGGACGTGCTCCCTCTGTAGACATCTGATACCTACCTACTGACTTGTTGTAGGACGTGCTCTCTCTGTAGACATCTGATGTTGTCTGATACCTACCTCCTGACTTGTTGTAGGACATGCTCCTTCTGTAGACATCTGATGTTGTCTGATACCTACCTTCTGACTTGTTGTAGGACGTGCTCCCTCTGTAGACATCTGATACCTACCTCCTGACTTGTTGTAGGACATGCTCCCTCTGTAGACATCTGATACCTACCTCCTGACTTGTTGTAGGACATGCTCCCTCTGTAGACATCTGATACCTACCTCCTGACTTGTTGTAGGACATGCTCCCTCTGTAGACATCTGATACCTACCTCCTGACTTGTTGTAGGACGTGCTCTCTCTGTAGACATCTGATACCTACCTCCTGACTTGTTGTAGGACATGCTCCC